GGTTATTTAATACCAACAAAATTTCCTTTTTTTTTTTTTTTCATAAATGTATAGCTGGTAATATTTAAAAAAAAAAAATGTATAGTTTAGTTTGTTTTGTTTTATGCCATTTAACCTCAATGCTCACAAGATTTTTATTTCTGGTAATATTTTCTTTTTCAAATATTTATTGCTGATACTAATTTTTTTTTTTTTTTTTTTTAAGTATTTCTGGTATTAAAATCTATTTTTACACTTTCATAGTGTTTTGAGTCAGGTTGTGGGGTCAACTATTTGCCCATAGCTGGGACCCTAACAGGTGCTACCACCCCGGGTCAGGGTGGACCTGGGAACACCAGCAATTAAAAGGTGGTTCCATGCTACTCAAAACCTCCTGATCAGAGGCCTTGCTGTTGGACGCAGTTTATTGTCTTACCCAGGATGCAGATGCAGTTTATCGTCATACCCAGGATGTAACAAGTGAAGGAATTTATTTACAAATTTACATGCTTGAACTTGAATCAGCAGCTTGTTTGAGGAAAATAAATCAGAATTCTTAAAGTCTCTCATTTTAATGTATTGTCATGAAGAGGAAATGTTCATACAACAGATTAAATGATCTGATACAAAATAATTTTAAAAAGTGTTTAAAACAAAGGTAAGAGAGTTCATTGCTCACAAAAGTGATACATGGTTGCATACATTTAAAAATAGATGAAGAAAGATAGTTTGAAATACTTAGGTTTCTTGTTGAAAGAAAGTTCTTTGAAGTGCTGTATGTTTGTTTAAAGGACAATAATAAAGGCAAATAGTTTTACACTGGCAAAAAATTGAAAGCTGGTCTTTAGGAGTTGAAACAAAACCTTTCACATGACTTCAGGTATTCTTCCTTTATTAATTTAATTTTTCTCCTTATTTTATATCACTAAGAATGTCACATAAGCTCACTACTTTTTTGTTTCTTCATCTTGGCTCAATTGCTAATTTCTGTTAAAACAAGGTTTTCATTGGTCGAAAAACAATTTCATACATGCTCGTGAATTTATTACTGTCGTTTTCTCAGCTTGCTGGCTATTTTCTGTGAAAACAAGGTTTTCATTAGTCTAAAGAAAATTTCATATAGGCTTGTAAATTTCTTTGTCTTTTTCCTCAGCTCACCTGAATTTGAAGGGAGTGGGTAAAGTACAATCTACAACTTTTACAAAAATGCTGGATTTCCAAAACCATATCTTATAACCAGTAGTACATATCATGAAGATATTGAGCTCATGAGAGCCACATTGTTCCTCCAACTTACATGATCTTGGTAGAGCATCAAAACACCCTTCAGCACCAGATGAATGTTGGCTGTCATATCAGAAACGTCCTTCCAGTGTCTGCATGGTCTGCCACAGGGTCATCTCTAGTCTACAGATGATGAGTAGAGCTGGTAGATGACTCTGGTGGGGGTGGTCACTAGGTTGTTGCAGGATGTAACAAAGTGGGCCACTAGTATTCTTCAAGTGGTAACTTTGCTGAAGCAAACATGTCAGCAGTCTGACAGTGGACCACCAGTGGCAGATTGGTGGCATGGGTGTAGGTTAGGATTTTCTTTATGCTATGCTTAAAATTATGTTTTATCTTCTGGTATAAATATGTTGGAACTTTAAAAAAAGTGATCTCAAAATAAACATTTGTTTTATTAGATTTAATGTAATTCTGGAATGATTATTTCACTAAATATGAAAGCTTCAATTAAAATTATGCAGAAGTCATAAGCGGCAACTGAATAATAAGTTCAAGCTTATATAAAGATGGATGGTATCTTTTAATATTTTACACCATTAAACCTGTTTTACAATCAATAATGTGTAATTATTGATTAACACTGAGATTCAAAACATTTCATCAAATATAATAAATTGTATTGATATTAAATAATAATAAAAAAAGATTATGTGTTTCTATTTAACCTTTATCACTCTGCATGTGACTTAATTTTCTGGGCAAAAAGTTTATCCTGCCACTGAATAATATTATTTGAATTTCATAGTTGTGTTGTCATATCCAGCTATAGCAACAGAAAACAACTTTGAATGAAATTAACAAGGATACTGCAATTGAGAGGATTTGAAAAAGAATGCAGTGGAAAGGGAAGTAATATTGATAATGCATAGTGCTAAAGCTTAATATCTGGACAACTTAAACTTTCAACATGATAATTTTTAAACAAATTTACATGTTGCTACATTTTTGGTTTTATAATAAACAAATAATCCCTACCAAAGAATTTATTTTAGAGAATGTAAATATACAACTTATACTATATTTTAGTTTAATTAGTTTAGATATAAGTTTCTTTGTGTCAGTTTAGACTGACAACTTTATATATATATATATATATATATATATAAACAAAAAGAGAGAAACCACAAACGTTTTTGGTTGTAATGTGAATTTTTTTTTTAAAATATTATGCTTTATTATGGAAAATAAAGTTTAATATTTTTTTTAAAAATCCACATTACAACCAAAAATGTTTGCAGTTTCTCTCTTCTTTTTAATATACACACTTTTCTCTCATTGGAGCTACTATAACCTCTTCCCTTCATATATTGTGACTCTTATTGCTTAAAATCTGTATTTTTTTCATTTCAGATGAAAACCTGGAAATTTTGCAATATATTTCAGTGAATTTTTTACTTTACCAAATTATAGTTTATATTTATAGTTCAGATATATGAATAAAAAACAAGATGTCAGTTGATATCAGTAGAATATGGATTAAACTTACACTTTATTTTTTTATATATTGTGAGCATTTTACTGAAAATTTGTATTTTCTTGATTTCAGATGAAAACTTAGAAAATTTTTAGTATATTTCAGTGAAATTTTCACTTTCCAAAGTTAGTTTGTAATTATAGCTTAGATATATGTAAAAAGATGTAAGTTTAAACCAATGTGTGTCGGCGGGTGGGGGTTATGGTGTATTTAATTAATATTTGTTACAAATTGTAGATTGAATTAGGCTGCATCTTAAACTTAACTATTCTCACACATTTAAATTTGTTCTTCAACAAAACACAAAACAAAAATGAATGAGAAATAATACAAAAACAGTTTTTGAATAACAAACAATATTTTGATTTTATATAGCATAAAAGATACAATGCATTATGCTGCTGAAATGAGTAAAGATTTGTGAGTGAAATCTTTGTGATGTTTGTTATTTTAATTGTGTGTGTAAACTCTTATTTTGATGTTTGGAGATGTGGTGTGTGAGTTTACTTGAAGAAATATTTGTAGTTGTGGTGATAGAAGTTTCATAGTCAGTGAAAGAATAATTCTGTTTATAAGGTAATTAAACAGTGTTTGTGTAATATAAATTTCCAGTGGAAATTGGGATAAACTTAGTTGTGCTAAAGTTGTCTTTCTTTGATCATACTTATTATAAAACCCAGGCTGTGTGTGTGTTTCGTTTATATATTGGATCGGATTTCCTACATTTTTCAACTGATTTCAACAAAACTTCACAGGACTACATAAAATTACCTTGCAGTGGTTCTGACAGCGCCAAAAATGGGAAAAATACAATTGTTTTTGCACAAAAGCAATTTGAAAACACGATTAAGAGGCATCGCTGTCGAGAATGAAAGGGGGGACAACTTATATCGAGTTATACTTATTATAAAACCCAGGTTGTTTGTGAGTGTGTGTCTGTGTTCATTTATATATGGGATCAGATTTCCTACATTTTTCAACCGATTTCAACAAAATTTCACTTTTTTTTTTTGGCAGGTAGTGTTTCTTATTGTCTTGCACACTTTTTTCTTTATTTTTACATTCAGAATGCTTTAAAAATTCCATTTACAAGACAATTGTTTATAATAAAATTCTATTCAATTGGTAGACTCATAACGATTGAAAACAATGCTTTTGTTTGAGTTTGGGTTTGACCAATTCATAAAAAAAAAACCCCAAAAAACAAAAAAAAAACTAATTAAGACATGCGTGTCCGTCAACCTTAAACAATAATCTTTGTCAATTTTATTTTTCAGTCTTTATGATGGTCGATACTTGATCTATCTCTTACTGTTACATTCCTGGGCAACGCCGGGCACTACTGCTAGTAATAAATAAATATTTAGACAAATTCTAGATGAAACAATGTTCTGTAATTGAGAACTTTTGCTGTGTGATAAATGATATCCAGTGTTATATGAGTGAGTGAATTCTGAAAGTTTGTCTTTATATTAACAAGGTAGCTTTAAAACTTCAGATAGTTGAGTATCATGGATTTGTTTGGCAGTGTGATTCTCACTGGTGAAAATGTGCTAGTCCACCCTATTTATTTACTTGTTGATCACATGATAGGCTCAAGAACAAGTTTTCATAATTTTGGCAGTTCTCTGGTTTGAACACTTGTGTCTAGGCGTAAATATGACCTTAGCATAAATAAACCAATCAGAAAAGGTCTATTGTTGTACTTCTAGCTTGGAGCCTAAAAGCCTATTATTTAATATTCGTTGTCCAATCAGGGCATTGTTAAATAGCATCCTTATGAAAATTAGGTGTGAGCCATGAAATGTAGAAGTCAGATTCTACAAATGCCTAAAAGATAGCAAAATATATAACAGCAATATTCATGCTAGAAATTTCTATTTCAGTTTAATGTCAACTGAACTTTCGACATATTTCCTTATTACAATTATATTTTCCATTCTTGTTTCTATTTTAGACTACTTTTTTTCTCAATCATTTTTCTTTTATTGATGAATATGATTACTGTTGATTTTTCATGTCTGTTTTGTATTTTAATGGTTTTTTTTTTGTTTAATTTTGAGGAGTGTGGATGTAATGTTTTATTTCTATTTTTGCTATGTAAAATAATTTTATGTAGGTTTCATGTTTCTATTTTAATATCATGGCTTGTTTTATATTTTTCATAAAAAATCAGTTCTTTGGTTTTTGAGAATATCACTCCAGTTTATTTTGAATTCATTCTGAAACACTTATTTTTATTTTCTATTTTTTATTACAGGTAAGCATGCTACAAGAACAGATTGACCAGGCCACAGAAACAAAATCGCAACTTACCAAAAGAGAAAAAGAGGTCAGTGATGTTGCAACAAAGAAAATATGTCAAAATCATATCCGAATGACTGATGAACAAATTGAAAGGCTTATGATTCAATTGCTTCACTACTGTGCAGGTTTGCAACATTGCCTTGATGTTCAGGAAGAGGAGAGGCAAAAAGTTGAACAGGCCCTTCATCCACACCCTGCATCTCTGACCCAACCACCTGTACCCTTACCTTCTGTTGTCACCACCCTGGTCACTAGTGATGACTGTGATGGAGGCAGTGGTGGCAGTTATATTGATGATGAGTTTGAAGATATAGAGTGCAACAACGATAGCAACATTGTGATCGTGAGTAGCAGCAGCGGAAACAACTCCCTCACAGGTAGCAGTGGTCAAAGGTCGGCTGAGCTTGACCCATTTATTTCTTCTGCAACCAGTGTGCAACATACACAACAATCACCATCTCCCCCGCCCCCTCCCCCATTGCCATCATCTTCGACGTCACCCCAGATTACGGAACCAGATTCTGATGTTGCAAGCAAATCAACTGAATTCTTTGATTCATGACAACTTTACAGTAAAAAAAAAAAAAAAAATAATCATAAATAGTAAAAACAAAGAGTCTAAAAAATAAAAAGAAGAAAGATCTCAATATGCAGTAATAGAAACGCTGATACTAATATTTCAATGACTATAATTTGAAGTGAGGTTCTGCAGTTACTGTGTAGTCTTTTGTATATGACGGCATGTTCTCATATGTAATGTTTTTGCTGCACATGTCGGATATATACAATAAACATGATTATTTGGATACACAGTTTATAAGTCTCCAGAGTTGTCTGTTTTATTTTATTATAGAATAACTTTAATCATAGCCAAAAAGAAAAAAAAAATTAGTAAGCAATAAGCAAAAAACTTTAAACACATTAAGGAAAGAAAAAAAATTAAAAATGTATAGAAGAGCATTGCTGCTATAAGAAAAATTAATTTTAAGATATTTTAAATTATTAAAAATTAAATTAAAATTGTAAGATGGAAATGCCACAACAATAGAGTAAAATAAAAAAAAAAAAACAATGAAAGATTAAAGTCTTAGAACATTTAGTCATGAAAAAATTCTTTTAACAAATTTGAATATCATTAAAACAGACATTTTTGTCACCTAAATTGTAATTTCAAATTTAATAATACAAAATGTTTTTTAATTTCATAATTTTCACAAATTTATTGTAGCAATATTTTATGAATTTGCATTTATGAAGTTTTTGCTAAGCTTCTTTAATTTCTTCTTTTTTTTTTTTTTTTGATTTGTTTAATATTTTTTAAAACTATTTTTGATTTATTTAATATTTTTTTAAACTATTCTTCACTATTAGGAACATAAATTATGAAATAATAAATTAAAAATAAAGAAATCACTGACAATTATGATATTAGATGCAAAACGATCAAATTGTAAACCAACACGGAATTTAATTGGAAGTGTCGTAAATAGTTTATATATTATAGGAAGATAACAAATTTGAAGTATCAAAAAAAAAAAAAAGAAAAAAAAGGAATATAAAACAAAATTCTATTGTCCAGAAAATAAAACCTTGTGCAATATATTATTTCCCCTGCTTCATGGATTCTTGTAGATAGCTACTCACGGTAGCTATCCATATGAAATGTCACTCCTACCCGAAAAACAGCAACAAAAAATACAGTAAGAAGAGTAAAAATAAAACACAGGAAGTGTTACAGTTACACACGTACATATGTATTTATATGTAAAAACACACACACACATACTACATATATGTATTGAAGTGCTCTACACTTTAATAATTTCACAATGAAAAAAAAAACAACAACAAAAAAAACAAGTGGATGGAGAAGAAAAATTGGAAAGAAAATATTGAAAAAGCTCTTATTATGTTGAAGACAAAAAGAGAAACTAAACTTTACTTTAAAATTTAATCTGGTTTGAAATAAATCCACAACCAACAAAACAAGAGTTTGATGAATTTGAAACCTAAACCAAAATCTACTTACAAACAATTCATTATTGAACTGCACCAAATGCAGAGACAATTTAGCGGAGAAAGCAAATGGATCTTTTGTTTACAATCCCATAAGATTTAAATATTACTTTATCAGAGATAATTGTTGCTTATACATTTCACTTTATTTCCATCAGCTTCTACATTAGTATTTGTTTCATGTCTATTTTTTCTACATTTTATTGCCCATTTGTATGTTATTACAAATTTTTAAAAATATTGATTCTATATTGTTTTGATATTTTATAAATGGCTTCAGCTCCTATGCTATATCATTATTATACTATTGTTTAGTAATGGTTATTTACTATACTATTGTTTAGTAATGGTTATTTACTATACTATTGTTTAGTAATGGTTATTTACTATTACTATTCTGTGGTATTGTTGTCAGGAATAAACTTCTTTTTTTATGCGAAAAAGAACAAAAAACAGGATACATGGAAACAAACAGTATACATGGAAACATCTTATTCCAGCTCAAAATATTAAAATTCACAAAATAAAAAAGATAAAAGATTGTACAGTTTGTGTGAAGAGAATGCTAAATAGTTTTGTATGTTCCCATGTTTATTTTTCTTTTTTTTATATGCACTAAAAAACAAAATTAGAAAAGATTTTAATTTTTTTCCCCCATTTCTTTCTTTTGCATTTTTTCTCTCTGTTTTAGTCTTTTCTTTTCTTTCTACCTCATTTCGGATATTTTCTCACCCCACCTCATTTTTGTTTTGTCACATGTCTGTTCCTTTATATTCATCTCGATTCTTTTTCCTTGTCTCCTCACCTCATTCTTTTTCATTTCTTTTTCTTCCTCTTCCAAGTTATAGAGTAATAGAAGTTTGTGTTTTAAAATACCTCATTAAAAAGATAAGAAAATTATGCATAAAAACAAACAGATGCAAAAATAACTTAATTTTCTGATTTCTTACAAAGAAACTAAATCCTGTAGTATGTGTTCATGTACTGCATATCTCTGCCTCTTTTAAAACAGGTATCCCATATTGCTAGAATTATCCAGAAACAAGCTAACAAAAACCAACATGGACACTCAGTGTTTTGCTTGGATGAAAGAGTAAGAGAGAAATGAAAAAGAAACAAAGGAAAGATGATATTGCTTTGATATTATAGCAATCAATTAATAAAAAAAAATAATTTAGGGTGGGTGGATTCAATATTTTGGGTAGGGTTGGGATTGGAAACAAGTTATCAACTAGTAGAATTGACATTAGCTTTATTTTTAGTAGATTTCTTATTTGCCTGTTATTTTTCTTGTGCTGTATGTATTACATTTGAAGACAGTTTTTTTTGTGTAGTATCCAAATATATGTGTATAAAGCTAAAAAAAATAAATAAAGTTAAGTGTAGCAAGTAGATAACTTTGGTGTTTATAATAACTAATATTGCATTTTAGTTTCAGTTTAACAGTTATATATACATATGTAATGACTGTATAACTGAAGCAATTCAATTATAGTGAAATAACTTGTTTTGTTTCATAATGCTAATTGAATGAGAATACATTTTTGATGGCATTATCAATACTGATTGATTTATATTTATAGATTTGGGTGGGGCATAGAATAACAACTTTCTAGAAAGTTTTTGTTTGAATATTTTCAAAATAGAAAAAATACCATTCTCTAATCGATGATTTTTCCCACCCATAGCCTTTTATGTCAAAGTTACCTCCCTTGTTAGTGTAGGAATTCTCCTGTCCTATGTTGCTGATTATATCAAGAGAATAAGTCTAAATGCTAAAAGGACTTGTTCTTGAAAACACATTGCTTGTTCCAAAGGCTAACTTCATTTAAACAAAAGTAGTAATAACTCTATTCTGTATATAAATTGATGATCACCCCACCCCAAAAAGCTGTATTGATTAGCTAAATTAATTCAGCTTGCCTCGTGTAAATAAGTGCATTCAATACAAATGTCATTTTTCATGTGTTGCAAAATATTGCTTTAAAATATTCATAAATTGAATTATTTATTTATGCTATTTCAATTTAATTAATTTGAAACGTTTTTTAAATAGTGCAAAGAAAAGAATACTGAACATCTGTCCTTCTTTACAGCAGTGAATGTTGGACGGTTTCCTCAAAGATGAAGAAGAGACTTGAGGCAACAGAGATGTGGTTCTGTAGAAGGATGCTAAGGATATCATGGACCAAGTGTGTGAGCAACAATGAGATCTTAGAGAGGCTGCAAACAAGGAGGAGGCTTATACTTAATATCAGGAAGAGGCAGCTGGAGTTTCTAGAGTACATAATGAGGAAGGAGGGCCTGGAGAATCTGATACTCACGGGTCGAATAGAGGGAAAGAGAGACAAGGGAAAACAATGTGTGACATACCTGGTGAACTTAAGCAAGTGGATGACAGAACATGGTCTGGGGGAGGAAGCAGAGGGAAGGAACTTGTTTGGGAGCTGCAAGGGATAGGAGGTGGAGAGCCATGATCACCTACGTCCTGAAAGGACATGGCACATAGAAAGAAAGAAAGAAGAAAATGCACTTAAAATTTTGAATACCTAAATAATAAAATGTGCTGAAGCTATGGCTATTTTTGTGATGATTGAATGGATATTAATCTGTATAATTAATTTCCAGAACATAAGCTATTTTATTTTCATACTAAACCTAAGTAGCCTCAGTAACATTCTTTTCCTTGGGTCCTTCTACCTGTGTACAATTCCTTGAAACTTCTGTCATGACTTTTGTTCTTTTAATTGTGATTCCCTTAACGAATTTCCTACTATATCTATCAGGCACCAAACAACACTAAGGACAATGAATGATCTTTTATAAAAAAAAGTTAAGCTTAATTTAACTAATTTGTTTTTATTTATTTACTAATGTACCTGTGTTGTCAAAAATGATGGCATTGTTAGAAAGTTTTGATAGATGCATTGAAACAAAAATCTTTAAACAATTTTCAGATTCAATAAAGTGGAGATAAAGAATTCACAACTAAAATATAGGCCAATTAACTGTTTAATTGATCTGTTCCCTTTATATTTTTTAAATGTTCAATGATATCTATGAATCTTTGATTACCACTGGTATTATATAAATCACTTTTTGCTCAGTATCTCTTCATGTTAAAAATTTTATATGATTAATAGTGAAATAGAAATATCTCTCAGAAGAAAAAGAGTAGCAACAAAATGATAAAGACAGCAACAAGAAAGCTTATTTCAAAATCAAGTTGAAGCAAGATGATCACTTAAGAGACAAAAGTATCTGAGTACTTCACATGAAAGGCTTGAATAAATAAGATTGTAATCAAAGAAATATAGGAGTAAGGGAAGTTATTAATTAAATGATTCCTTTTGCTTGGGAACTAATTTTGTCTAAATACTAATATTTTATTGATTAGATTATTTAAATGACTAAGAGAAGTAATCACTCATAAACTTACTAACTTAAGTTGATTTATCTCTTTTCACACTACAATGGGACAGGAAATATATAAATACACATAATTATTATATGGCTTGATTTGTGATTACCAAACACTAAATAAAA